CCTCCCTCAGTCCCATAAACAAGTCACCACCCAGCTTAAAAACAGCCTAAGTCTACAATCCAGATTTCTTAGCCCTCTCCCACGTGGCACTGTCCCACCTCATGATACTAATACCTTACTAGGAACGTTCTGCTCCAGCCCAAACCTATCTAGTAGCTGACCCTTGATTTTTGCTGGACTCATTCCTTGCTTGCTGCCTTAACACCCCAAACCCCTTTCCTATAAGCCCAACTTACTTTGTATGAGACCTCCTAATAATGTATTCTTGAGAGGTGTTTATGAGTATTGATAACAATGGATTGCCGGATGCAAAGGTAGTGGTTTTATAAGATCAGACTTTTTTCAGTGTGATCATTATCCTTTAATCCATTGTTCATTTCGTTTCTACAAGGGGCCAGGTAACTGGAGACTTAAGGAAGACGAGGGTCTCAGAAAAACTGTTTTTTTCTGTTTTCTTATTTATAAAAGGGATTAATAAGGAAACACTATGCTTTATAGCACCGCACCTTATGAAAAGCCAGTACTCCAGAGCTGTTTATTTTGTTGTTCAAAAGATAAGACACTTCTCTTTTTCCCCAGTCCCAGCACGAACTTCCTGGAACCCATGACCCATGAAGTCTTGTCAACACTCAAACCATCTGAGGGTAGCAGCCATGAAGTAGAAGAAGCAGGTGAGGTTTTCTGCCCACAGTCTAATACCTCTGGCCTATCGGGTCAGTCATACTGTTTCATGTTTTGTGTTGCCACTTGAGGATAGAGTACTTCTCCATCCTTTAGTATTAGGAAGGGTCTGGCTCTGAGTGGAATCTGGACCAAACAGATCAGTGCTAGTTCATTTCAGATGCTTTTTCAGTCAGAGCCTATGGGGACCTCTTTCCCCTGGAGTGGCTGTGTGAATCTCCCTTTCCTTGAGGCAACTCTGTTTGACATGTTGGCCACAAACCATTTACTATGGAATTTGGAGTCTGAGGCTCCTGTGGAAAAGTCCTGCTTAGGTCTGGGTGAGGAGAGCCCTGTGTTTATGTCTCTGTCAGTGGTATTACAGCGAATGCCTTGTGATCTGCTGTGCTGGGCAGTGTTTATCTCACAAAACCCAGAGGGATTCTGTGTCATCCCGACTTTTGAAATAAGGTTAGGAAATAATAATTCTCCTTTCCTAATGGTGAATTTGGCCTTATCTTCAAAGAAGCTCTTTGATGTTTGGGATAGGATTATTGGGCAGCAGAGGAAATCATAAGAGAAAGATCAGAGCCAATAATACACAGTCAACCTCATTTGGTTGCCAGAGAAAATGTTGAGGAAAGTCTCAACTAGTCCTCCTGGTAAGTAACAGGAAAGCACATAATATGGCCAGGGTAAGTGGGGCTGAATGAAAAAAAATAACTCAAAAGGAGCTGAACAGCAGAAAGTATGGCAGAGGAATGTTTGTTCTTCTCTAAAATGAGTTTGGACGGCATTGGACAAGACGGGGGTGATGATGTGTGTGCAGGCTGGAGCCTTCATCCTCTCAGCAAGCTTTTATTGGGTCCTTGCTGTGTACCTGGGATCCATACTGGAGCCCACGCTGTCCAGATATTCCATCACTGAAGGGAAAGCCACGCTGCAGTGCAACCTGTAGGGTTACAGTACTTGGACAGGGTCAGTTAAGAAAGGCTTCTGGAGGGAGGAAGGTCGGCGTCTCAGATGATGTCTTAAAGGCGGACATGGGACTGGTCTGCCATCTGTGACCTCTGCTTGTAGGTGCTGTTCATTATTTTCTCCCTGAAGACTCACTTTTCCTCAGCAGATGATAGGCCGAGGTAGTCTTGAGACAGGCGACGGCAAGTTCAGGGTAGTTCTGTTAGTTTCAGGAAAGTTAAAAACAGGCAGTTCTTCACTGAATACAAATCTCAGAAATCCGAGCCTTAGACAAGTTTGTAAACCCAGTTACGGAATAGCTTTCGGGGGGAAAAGGAGAAACGTGTGATTTGTTTTTTTCTTTCCCATCTATGTCAGATTTCCGCTGAGAATTTTAGAAACACATGCCTGAACTCAGCTTTTTACCTTTGAATTTCATTTGCCCTTTATTCTACTGTCTGCACTAGGTTTGCTAACTCTGAAACCACTCCCAGAGTAGCCGGTGAGGAAGTGTTTGTTTTAGGGACAAATAAAAACCTCCTTGGCTGCAGAGAGGTAACGATCATAAGCATGGGAGCTACAGGTAAGAAGAAGAGGGCCTGTCGAGGTGGCTGACCTTGGAGGTCCCCCCCCCAGGCAGGGCTGGACTGGACTCTTGAACAGAACCCTCCCCCACCTTCCCTGGTCCTGCCAGGATTTTTCCAGAGTAGTTCTAGCCAAGTGCCTTTACTAGTCTGAGTTTACCTAACATTACAATCACAGCAGGTTTATTAGGTATGGGTCACAGTTAATTGGAGAGGAAAATTGGGGGGTTCTGGGTTTATTACTTTTCTATGAAAGTAGAGGCTGCTCTTAATTATTTCCCAGATCATCCCTGCTACTTGACTCTCTCTGCTCGCTAATGCCTGTCAGCCCACAGCAGTGCTATGTTAGCTCTGCCTTTTTTATGTACCTGTGTCCATGTGAGGGGGATTTCATAATGCAGTCAGTCAGCACAGTGAGACCACATAAAGCAATGGAAATTCACGGTTGTTTACCTCTGTCATTGCGATTGGATGTCTTGCAGTGAACAAGTTACATAAAAATGCACTGTGTCATATAGCCAAGAGTTAGATTCTAATGACCCTTCCAGTGTGCAGGCCCTCCAAGCAATCACCTGCAACCTTCCTTGAGCCCACTGGCGGTCTGCTGTCATGAAGGCTGCGTTAGCTTCAGGCGAAAGCCCCACAATCAGGTGCTTTGCATTCTGTAGCCTTGTGTTACAGAGATGGAGGTTGGGTGGTTGGGCCCAGCTTTCGCCTGTCTGGACTGTGGCAGTTTGCCAGCAAGTTTCACTGGGTGGTCTTTGACAATGGGAGAGGGGAGGAGTGGGGGAGCTCAGCTCTCCTGCCCAAAGGGGAACAAGAAGGTTGGCAACCAATGCCCCGTCACCGAAACACCACCAAAGTCTTGAGCAGTGGTGAATAAAATGGAACAGGTTGCTGAGGGCGGTGTTGTGAAGGAGTTCATTTTTGTCCCCCCCCCCCCGATTTTATAGACGGAGCCTTGCGTTTATGCGGTGAGACCCCCTCAAGAGGGCGAGCACACACAGTGGCAGGTACCCTTTGTCACAGGAGGGGAGAATGACTGTTCTCACCTCGTCACTCAGGGAATCAGCTGTGGACCTAGAGGGCAGGCTGAGATCCTTGAAGGCCAGTGCCAAGGAGGCAGCCCCACCTGCCTCTCCCGTCCTTCCGGAGACATGGAGAATGATAGCTGCCTTTAGTGGGCCCTGTGTACCAGGCCCTGTGCTAATTCCACAGGCATTCTCCCTGCACCCCCCACCCCCACTGTCCTGTGGAGACAGGCAGTGTGATCTTGTTCTGCAGACAAGGGGCCAAAGCTTGAAGCACTGGAGTGACTTGTTCTGCCCCCACAGCCATTAAGTGGCAGAGCCAAGGTTTCGTTGCAAGACTGCTGACTCTAAAACTCAGGCTCTGCAGGAAAAGAAAATGCCCAGTCTCTCCCCCTAAGCAGAGCCCCCTTAGCTTGGGGCTGTTTCCTTTGCAACTAACAAAGTGGAAGGGGCAGGTGGGGGCCTTTATGAGACTTGCCTTAAGAGACACGAACTGAAACCTGGGACCACAGCTGGAAGGTTTTGACCGGGGCAGCAGCACAGGGGAAGCCACGCTTTGTCACGCAGCTCCCGTCAGGCTTTGCAGACAGTTCTGAAAGCCGCCTGCACTTGGGTCTCATCTCGGAACATGTTTCCTGCCTCTCCCCAATCCCCTCCCCTCGCCCCCACCTCGCAGGACATCATCTGAACGGGCTGTCTGAGCCTCCGTGTCCATTGTAGATGCCGGCTGAACCCACTTGCTCCCTGGGTTTCTGCAAGTCTGATCAAGCAGGTCCTCTGTGCCCTCAGTGGGGAGAGGGGGAGAAGGTGCTTGGCCCAGCAGATACTTTTACTGGTCAGGAGAAGTGGCAGCTTGTACAGAAAAATAGCCTGGGGAAGGAGGTAGCAGCTCTGACAGACAGGTAACTGACAGGAGATGGTACCTTCCAGGCAAATACTCCCAGGACAGCCAGCGGAAAGAATTCTACAGGCAGTTACCTGCAGGAGAGCACAACAGACCTCTCCCTACTGGCTGAGGGGAGTGGTGGAGATTTGGCTGTGGACTCATAGCTGCTCTTAGTTGCTTGTTTTTCTTTAACAAATGTGGATAGCCTGAAGCCAGGTGGGGCAGGGGAGGGGGGAGGAGGAACGACACAGGACACTTGGGTTTAAGAAACAATTATGCAAGACACCAGGGTGGCTCAGTCAGTTGATTATCTGACCCCTGATATCTGCTCAGGTCATGATCTCACAGTTCTTGAGATCGAGCACCACGTTGGGCTCCGTGCTGAGAGCACAGAGTCTGCTTGGGATTCTCTCTCTCCCTCTCAGTCTGCCCCTCCCCTGCTCACTGCTCACTCTCTCAAAATAAATAAATAAACTTTTTTTTTTTTTTTTTTTTTTAAAGAAAGAAACAATTATGTGACCAACTTGTCGGGTAACTGAGAGGAGTCCCAGAAACTGAATGAAACTTTACTCCTCTGTCCCCACAGAGCTGCCTTTTAGAGCACTATTGGGATGCAGAGAGAGAGCACAAGAGAACGCTTGGGATTGAGAATGTTTCTGCTCACATCAAAATCCCAAGTCCCCTGGCATCTGTGCTCTCCCAAGATGAGTTAGGGGACAAGGCATGCTGGGAACTGGCCAGAGGTCAGAGTGTGGGCCTATGGGCTGCATCTGCTTCTGGGGTTGGGTGGGTTTCTGTTTTCTGAGGGCAGGAGCCTGGACTAGAGGTGATTCATCCTATTACCAGAAAGCCTTCCCCATCTCCGGACAAGCTGTCTTTCCCCCTCTTGCAACAAGAGGCAATGAGGGGGTCTCAGGGCCTGTTGGGTGTTCGGAGAGGAAAAGATCTCATGGCCAGGGGATCCTGATTACCATTCTTCCTGAGAGAGGAACAACAGAGGAATCTGGGGAGTGTCTGGGGCATCCCCTCTAAGAGGACAGAGGAGAATCTTATTAGAAGGTTGTTCAGGAGGGAGCGGCATTTCAGTACCACTTCCAGGTTGGAGATGTGTGGCATCCTGGTTAAGTGTGGGCCTTGGAACCAGACGGGCCTGGGTTTGAATCCTGGCCTTGCCAATCTCTAGGTATATGACCCTGGACTAGTTATCTAGACCCTGAGAATCCGATCTCTTAAGGTTGTAGAAAGGAAGCAAGATATGGCATATAATGCATATTAACTGCATTGTGAGCATTCAGTAGAAGGCGGCTCTTAGGAGGAAGGGAAAGAATAGGAGAGAAGAGTAGTGGAAGTGGGGGTTATTGAGGAATCGGGTGGCTAGAAGGGTGAGTAGGTAGAGGGCTGCACTGAGGGAAGGCCCACTGCTGAAGGCTCTGCAGAGATACAGGAATGAGAAGATGGGGACAGAGGAGCCCACAATAGGGAAAGGCCCTTAGGTACCAGTCCTCAGACCTGGTCAGTAGGAAGAGAATACTCACCCAGTTGCCTCCTCTGCT